GGGGTCAGTGTGTGTGTGTGTGTTCTACTGCTACTGCTGCTTTGGCTTCAAACAGTAGGTAAGACTTTTTTTTAAATTTTATTATTGTGTTTTTTTAAATATTAACATCAAACAAATTAAGAAAAACAAGTAATTTTACTAGTGTATATTTGAGTGTTTTAACATTTCCCCCTCAATTTTTCGATCTGAGCCTATTCTACTTTGCACTTGCAAATATACTGCCTTCGTGGGTCCTTGAGCACAAAAAATTTACAAAAAAATCCAAAAATGATCCCCATATGTGGCAGAAGACCTTCCAGAGGAAATACTTAGAGGGAATGAATACAAGGGACTGGCTCTGTTCAAAAATGGGCAAAAATACCTCCTTCTTTGTTCTTCCTTCTCCTTTACGCTGACTTCTGAGAGCTACGTGAGGTCAATTATAAGGACCAGGGAGGAGGAAGGAGCACTGAGGAGGAGGAGCTATCGCTGCTTTAGATGGATTCAGATCCTCCAAATCATCGGCAGGAATAATAACTGTTCAATCAAAACTACAACTCCCAAAAAACGGACTACAACAAGCGCACCACTACAGTTCTGAGTCTAAAGAGTATTTCAGTCTTTCAGTCAAACCTTTCAGTTTTTATGGCCAATGTTTTTATCACAACAGTTTACATAAAGTGATTGTACATGAGCTAATCTGTAAAAAAAAGAACTGTGCTAAACTTGCTATGACCCGCACACCGTGACCCGCAAGCTATGATGATGTAGGTGTAGACTTCTCTCTCTTTGTTCTCGGTGTAGATGTAGATTCTTTGTTCTCGTGTAGATTCTCTGTTCTCGGTGTAGATTCTTTGTTCCTGGTGTAGATTCTTTGTTCTCGGTGTAGATTCTCTGTTCTCGGTGTAGATTCTTTGTTCCTGGTGTAGATTCTCTGTTCTCGGTGTAGATTCTTTGTTCTCGGTGTAGATTCTCTGTTCCCGGTGTAGATTCTTTGTTCTCGGTGTAGATTCTCTGTTCTCGGTGTAGATTCTTTGTTCCTGGTGTAAACTGTTTGCTTGTTTTGACTATTCAGCGTTCGCCTGTATTCAACCTCATGTTTTACGATGTGTAGTTTTATGTATTTTAGCACGTTAGTGTGCGTGTGTGTATGTGTATATGTGTATGTGTGTGTAGGTGGGTGAAAGTTAATGCGTGATTGTTTTTAATATAAATAAGTTTGACTGATAGAGATAAAAGTGGACAGGGCGTAGTGATGATCACGGGAGGCTGAAGGCGCTGTGTACACAGAGACTATTAAAGGATATTTACACTACAGTTCTTAAAACATTAATCAGTCAGATCTTGATTGAACAACTAAAAAAAGATTGAAAAATATTAATCCTCAGAATTTTTTTAATTTATTATAATTTTTCATAATAGCCAAAGGAATTCCAAGTGTACAAAAATGTGCTAAACTCCCACAGTGTGAGTTTTTGAAAGTGTCATTAAAGTTTCAGGACTTGTTTCTGTTTTCAGATGGATATCAATTTGTTATCGCAGATTACTGTGAGTTCAACTCCACTGATCCTAATCCTGACAACATGCAGTACATTCTCTCTTATTTCTACAACAAACTGGAGATCATCAGGTTTGACAGTCGAGTGGGGAAGTTTGTGGGATACACAGAGTTTGGGATGAGGAATGCTGAGCGATGGAACAATAATCCATGAATATCTCGCAATTAAAAGACATGAGAAGTACAGTTACTGTGTTGATATTATCAAAAACAGGACCCAAGCCGTCCTCTTCAAATCAGGTGAGTCCAGGTTACCTGAGGTCATGTGACCTTGTGTTATCTGAGCCTCTTTATGCGGTGAAAGTTAAAATAAGATAAACAATGGGTAAATGCCAGTTACATTTCTCAGGATGTTTGTCTGATCTGATCTAAAAAATAAATAAATAAATAAGGAACCGTTCATCACTTGTGATAAAATGTCATTAATAAAATAATTGGTATTATTATTATTTTCCATAAATAAGCCTCCAACAATGAAGTTCACAGATTTGGTAAAAGAACCAGGGTTTAGTGTGTGACCATCTGTGTGTGTGACCCTCTGTGTGTGTATGACCCTCTGTGTGTGTATGACCCTCTGTGTGTGTGTGACCCTCTGTGTGTATGACCCTCTGTGTGTATGACCCCTCTGTGTGTATGACCTCTGTGTGTGTATGACCCTCTGTGTGTGTGACCCTCTGTGTGTGTGTGACCTCCTGTGTGTGACCCTGTCTGTGTGTGTAATGATGACCCCTCTGTGTGTGTGTGACCCTCTGTGTGTATGACCCTCTGTGTGTGTGTATGACCCTCTGTGTGTGACCTCTGTGTGTGTGAGACCCTATGTGTGTATGACCCTCTGTGTGTGTATGACCCTCTGTGTGTGTGTGACCCTATGTGTGTATGACCCTCTGTGTGTGTGTGACCCTCTTGTGGTGACCCTCTGTGTGTGTATGACCCTATTGGTGTGTATGACCCTCTGTGTGTGTGACCCTATGTGTGTATGACCCTCTGTGTGTATGACCCTCTGTGTGTGTATGACCCTCTGTGTGTGTGTGACCCTATGTGTGTATGACCCTCTGTGTGTGTGACCCTCTGTGTGTGTATGACCCTCTGTGTGTATGACCCTCTGTGTGTATGACCCTCTGTGTGTGTATGACCCTCTGTGTGTGTGTGACCCATGTGTGTATGCCCTCTGTGTGTGTGCCCTCTGTGTGTGTATGACCCTCTGTGTGTGTGGTCTGGTGTATGACCTCTGTGTGTGTGACCCTAATGACCCTCTGTGTGTATGAACCCTCTGTGTGTGTATGACCCTCTGTGTGTGTGTGACCCTATGTGTGTATGACCCTCTGTGTGTATGACCCTCTGTGTGTGTATGACCCTCTGTGTGTGTGACCCTCTGTGTGTGTGTGATCCTCTGTGTGTGTGTGACCCTCTGTGTGTGTGTGACCCTCTGCATGTGTGTGACCCTCTGTGTGTGTGAGACCCTCTGTGTGTGTATGACAAGGTGTGTGACTCGGTGTGTGTGTATATGACTCGGTGTGTGTATATGGCTCGTGTGTGTGTGTGTGTTATATGACTCGTGTGTGTGTATATGATTGTTGGTGTGTGTATATGACTCGTGTGTGTGTGTGTGTATATGACTCGGTGTGTGTATATGACTCGGTGTGTGATATGACTCGTGTGTGGTGTGTGTATATATGACTCGGTGTGTGTATATGACTCGTGTGTGTGTATATGAGTGTGTGTGTGTGTATATGACTCGGTGTGTGTGTAATGAATGACTCGGTGTGTGTGTGTATATGACTCGGTGTGTGTATATGACGGTGTGTGTATGACTCGGTGTGTGTGTGTATATGACTCGGTGGTGTGTATATGACTCGTGTGTGTGTATATGATGTGTGTATATGTGTGTGTGTATATATGACTCGTGTGTGTGTATATGACTCGTGTGTGTGTGTGTGTGTGTATATGACTCGGTGTGTGTGTGTGTGTGTGTATATGACTCGGTGTGTGTGTGTGTATATGACTCGGTGTGTGTGTATATGACTCGGTGTGTGTGTGTGTCTGTGTGTGTATATGACTCGTGTGTGTGTGTATATGACTCGGTGTGTGTGTGTATATGACTCGGTGTGTGTGTTATGACTCGGTGTGTGTGTGTATGACTCGTGTGTGTGTGTATATGACTCGTGTGTGTGTGTATATGACTCGGTGTGTGTGTATATGACTCGTGTGTGTGTGTGTATATATGACTCGTGTGTGTGTGTATATGACTCGGTGTGTGTGTATATGACTCGGTGTGTGTATATATGACTCGTGTGTGTGTGTATATGACTCGGTGTGTGTGTATATGACTCGGTGTGTGTGTGTATATGACTCGGTGTGTGTGTATATGACTCGGTGTGTGTGTATATATGACTCGGTGTGTGTGTGTGTGTGTATATGACTCGGTGTGTGTATATGACTCGGTGTGTGGTGTGTGTATGACTCGGTGTGTGTGTGTATATGACTCGGTGTGTGTGTGTGTATATGACTCGGTGTGTGTGTGTATATATGACTCGTGTGTGTGTATATGACTCGTGTGTGTGTGTATATGACTCGGTGTGTGTGTATATGACTCGTGTGTGTGTATATGACTCGGTGTGTGTGTATATGACTCGTGTGTGTGTGTATATGACTCGGTGTGTGTATATGACTCTGTGTGTGTGTGTGTAATGACTCGTGTGTGTGTGTGTATATGACTCGGTGTGTGTGTATATGACTCGGTGTGTGTGTATATGACTCAGTGTGTGTATATGACTCGGTGTGTGTGTATATGACTCGTGTGTGTGTGTATATGACTCGTGTGTGTGTGTGTATATGACTCGTGTGTGTGTGTGTATATGACTCGGTGTGTGTATATGACTCGGTGTGTGTATATGACTCGGTGTGTGTGTATATGACTCGTGTGTGTGTATATGTGGTGTGTGTATATGACTCGGTGTGTGTGTATATGACTCGGTGTGTGTGTATATGACTCGGTGTGTGTATATGACTCGGTGTGTGTGTGTGTGTGTATATGACTCGGTGTGTGTATATGACTCGGTGTGTGTGTATATGACTCGGTGTGTGTGTGTGTATAACTCGGTGTGTGTGTATATGACTCGGTGTGTGGTGTGTGTGTGTATATGACTCGGTGTGTGTGTATGACTCGGTGTGTGTATATGACTCGGTGTGTGTGTGTGTGTGTGTATATGACTCGGTGTGTGTGTGTATATGACTCGGTGTGTGTGTGTATATGACTCGGTGTGTGTGTGTGTATGACTCGGTGTGTGTGTATATGACTCGGTGTGTGATGTCGGTGTGTATATGTGTGTGTGTATATGACTCGTGTGTGTGTGTGTGTATATGACTCGGTGTGTGTGTATTGTGTGTATATATGACTCGGTGTGTGTGTGTATATGACTCGGTGTGTGTGTGTATATGACTCGTGTGTGTGTGTATGACTCGGTGTGTGTGTGTGTATATGACTCGGTGTGTGTGTGTATATGACTCGGTGTGTGTGTGTATATGACTCGGTGTGTGTTCCAGTGGAGCCGTACGCGGTGCTGAGCTCAGCGCCCTCTGCTGGCAGTGACAGGGTCCTGGTCTGCAGCGTCTACGGCTTTTACCCCGAACACATCAGTGTGTCCTGGACCAACCACCAGCAGAGTCTGACGACCGGAGTGACCACGACTGACCTGCAGCCAGACGCAGACTGGTACTACCAACTGCACTCACAGCTCGAGTACTCCCCCAGGTACTGGACCAGGACTAAACCAGGACTAAACCAGGACTAAACCAGGTACTGGACCAGGACTAAACCAGGACTAAACCAGGACTAAACCAGGACTAAACCAGGACTAAACCAGGTACTGGACCAGGACTAAACCAGGACTAAACCAGGACTAAACCAGGACTAAACCAGGGACTAAACCAGGACTGGACCAGGACTAAACCAGGACTAAACAGGACTAAACCAGGTACTGGACCAGGACTAAAACCAGGACTACTAAACCAGGACTAAACCAGGACTAACTGGACTAAACCAGGACTAAACCAGGACTAAACCAGGACTAAACCAGGACTAAACCAGGACTAAACCAGGACTAACTAAACCAGGACTAAACCAGGACTAAACCAGGACTAAACCAGGACTAAACCAGGACTAAACCAGGTACTGGACCAGGACTAAACCAGGACTAAACCAGGACTAAACCAGGACTAAACCAGGACTTTCTAAACTTGTCTCTGTGCAGGTCTGGAGACCAGATTTCCTGTGTGATTGAACACAAGAGTCTCAAAGAACCAATGGTCCTGGACTGGGGTAAGACCTGTGTGTCAGGTCCCTGTGTGTCAGGTCCCTGTGTGTCAGGTCCCTGTGTGTCAGGTCCCTGTGTGTCAGGTCCCCGTGTGTCAGGTCCCTGTGTGTCAGGTCCCCGTGTGTCAGGTCCCCGTGTGTCAGGTCCCTGTGTGTCAGGTCCCTGTGTGTCAGGTCCCCGTGTGTCAGGTCCTGTGTGTCAGGTCCCTGTGTGTCAGTCTGTGTGTCAGTCCCGTGTGTCAGGTCCCCATGTGTGTCAGTGTCCGTGTGTCAGGTCCCTGTGTGTCAGGTCCCTGTGTGTCAGGTCCCGTGTGTGTCAGGTCCCTGTGTGTCAGGTGTGTGTCCCTGTGGTCAGGTCCCGTGTGTCAGGTCCCCGTGTGGTCAGGTCCCTGTGTGTCAGGTCCCCTGTGTGTCAGGTGTGTGTCAGGGTGTGTCAGGTGTGTGTCGGGTGTGTGTCAGTGTGTGTCTGTGTCAGGTGTGTGTCAGGTGTGTGTGTCAGTGTGTGTCAGGTGTGTGTCAGTGTGTGTCAGGTGTGTGTGTCAGGTGTGTGTCAGGTGTGTGTCAGTGTGTGTCAGGTGTGTGTGTGTCAGGTGTGTGTGTCAGTGTGTGTGTCAGTGTGTGTGTGTGTCAGGGTGTGTGTCAGGTGTGTGTCAGTGTGTGGTGTGTGTGTCAGTGTGTGTGTCAGGTGTTGTGTCAGTGTGTGTGTGTCAGTGTGTGTGTGTGTGTCAGTGTGTGTGTGTGTCAGGTGTGTCAGTGTGTGTGTCAGGTGTGTGTGTCAGGTGTGTGTCAGGTGTGTGTGTGTGTGTGTCAGGTGTGTGTCAGTGTGTGTGTCAGGTGTGTCAGTGTGTGTGTCAGGTGTGTGTGTGTGTGTGTCAGGTGTGTGTGTCAGTGTGTGTGTGTGTCACGTGTGTGTGTGTGTGTCAGGTGTGTGTCAGGTGTGTGTGTCAGGTGTGGTGTGTGTGTGGTGTGTGTCAGGTGTGTGTCAGGTGTGTGTCAGGTGTGTGTCAGGTGTGTGTGTGTCAGGTGTGTGTCAGGTGTGTGTCAGTGTGTGTGTCAGGTGTGTGTGTGTCAGGTGTGTGTGTCAGGTGTGTGTCAGTGTGTGTGTGTCAGTGTGTGTGTGTGTCAGGTGTGTGTCAGTGTGTGTGTTCAGTGTGTGTGTCAGTGTGTGTGTCAGGTGTGTGTCAGTGTGTGTGTCAGTGTGTGTGTGTCAGTGTGTCAGGTGTGTGTCAGTGTGTGTGTGTCAGTGTGTGTGTGTGTGTGTGTGTCAGGTGTGGTGTCAGGTGTGTGTGTCAGGTGTGTGTCAGGTGTGTGTCAGTGTGTGTGTCGTGTGTGTGTGTCAGGTGTGTGTGTCAGTGTGTGTCAGGTGTGTGTGTGTCAGGTGTGTGTCAGGTGTGTGTCAGGTGTGTGTCAGGTGTGTGTCAGTGTGTGTGTGTGTGTGTCAGGTGTGTGTGTGTGTGTCAGTGTGTGTGTGTCAGGTGTGTGTCAGGTGTGTGTGTGTGTGTCAGGTGTGTGTGTCAGTGTGTGTGTCAGGTGTGTGTCAGTGTGTGTGTGTGTCGGTGTGTGTGTCAGGTGTGTGTGTCAGTGTGTGTGTCAGGTGTGTGTCAGTGTGTCAGGTGTGTGTGTCAGGTGTGTGTCAGTGTGTGTGTCGGTGTGTGTGTGTGTGTGTCAGGTGTGTGTGTCAGGTGTGTGTCAGGTGTGTGTCAGGTGTGTGTCAGGTGTCAGGTGTGTGTCAGGTGTCAGGTGTGTGTCAGTGTGTGTGTGGGTGTGTGTGTCAGTGTGTCAGGTGTCAGTGTGTGTGTGTCAGGTGTGTGTCAGGTGTGTGTCAGGTGTGTGTCAGTGTGTGTGTGTCAGGTGTGTGTGTCAGGTGTGTGTGTGTGTGTCAGGTGTGTGTCAGGTGTGTGTCATGTGTGTGTGTCAGGTGTGTGTGTCAGGTGTGTGTGTCAGGTGTGTGTGTCAGGTGTGTGTGTCAGGTGTGTCAGGTGTGTGTGTGTCAGGTGTGTGTCAGTGTGTGTGTCAGTGTGTGTGTGTGTGTGTCAGGTGTGTGTGTCAGGTGTGTGTGTGTCAGGTGTGTGTCAGTGTGTCAGGTGTGTGTGTCAGGTGTGTGTCAGTGTGTGTGTGTGTGTCAGTGTGTGTGTCAGTGTGTGTGTGTGTGTGTGTCAGGTGTGTGTGGTGTGTGTGTCAGTGTCAGGTGTGTGTCAGGTGTGTGTCAGGTGTGTGTGTCAGGTGTGTGTCAGGTGTGTGTCAGGTGTCAGGTGTGTGTCAGGTGTGTGTGTCAGGTGTGTGTCAGGTGTGTGTGTGTCAGTGTGTCAGTGTGTGTGTGTGTCAGGTGTGTGTGTGTCAGGTGTGTGTGTCAGGTGTGTGTGTCAGGTGTGTGTCAGGTGTGTGTCAGGTGTGTGTGTCAGTGTGTGTGTCAGGTGTGTGTCAGGTGTGTGTCAGTGTGTGTGTCAGGTGTGTGTCAGTGTGTGTGTCAGTGGTGTGTGTGTCAGTGTGTGTGTCAGGTGTGTGTCAGGGTGTGTGTCAGTGTGTGTGTCAGGTGTGTGTGTGTCAGGTGTGTGTCAGTGTGTCAGGTGTGTCAGTGTCGGTGTGTGTGTCAGGTGTGTGTCAGGTGTGTGTCAGTGTCAGGTGTGTGTGTCAGGTGTGTGTGTGTCAGTGTGTGTGTCAGGTGTGTGTGTCAGGTGTGTGTCAGGTGTGTGTGTGTCAGTGTGTGTGTCAGGTGTGTGTGTCAGTGTGTGTCAGGTGTCAGGTGTGTGTCAGGTGTGTGTGTGTGTGTGTCAGGTGTGTGTCAGGTGTCAGGTGTGTGTCAGGTGTGTGTGTCAGTGTGTGTGTGTCAGGTGTCAGGTGTGTGTCAGTGTGTGTGTCAGGTGTGTGTGTGGTGTGTGTCAGGTGTGTGTCATGTGTGTGTGTGTGTCAGTGTCAGGGTGTGTGTCAGGTGTGTGTGTCAGGTGTGTGTCAGTGTGTGTAGGTGTGTGTCAGGTGTGTCAGGTGTGTGTCAGGTGTGTGTCAGTGTGTGTGTCAGGTGTGTGTCAGGTGTGTGTCAGTGTGTGTGTGTCAGGTGTGTGTCAGTGTGTCAGGTGTGTGTCAGTGTGTGTGTGTGTCAGGTGTGTGTCAGGTGTGTGTCAGTGTGTCAGTGTGTCAGGTGTGTGTCAGTGTGTGTGTGTGTCAGGTGTGTGTCAGGTGTCAGGTGTGTGTCAGGTGTGTGTGTCAGTGTGTGTGTGTGTGTCAGGTGTGTCAGTGTGTCAGGTGGTGTGTCAGGTGTGGTGTGTGTGTCAGGTGTGTCAGGTGTGTGTCAGTGTGTGTGTGTCAGGTGTGTGTCAGGTGTGTGTCAGGTGTGTGTCAGGTCAGGTGTGTGTCAGGTGTGTGTCAGGTGTGTGTCAGGTGTGTGACGGGGCCCTCTTGTGTGTGTGTGTCAGGTGTGTGTGTCAGGTGTCAGGTGTGTGTGGTGTGTGTGTCAGTGTGTGTGTGTCAGGTGTGTGTCAGGTGTGGTGTGTCAGGTGTGTGTGTGTGTGTGTGTGTGTGTCAGGTGTGTGTCAGGTGTGTGTGTCAGGTGTGTGTCAGGTGTGTGTGTCAGGTGTGTGTGTCAGGTGTGTGTCAGTGTGTGTGTGTCAGGTGTGTGTGTGTGTGTGTCAGGTGTGTGTGTGTCAGGTGTGTGTCAGGTGTGTGTCAGGTGTGTGTCAGTGTCAGGTGTGTGTCAGGTGTGTGTCAGGTGTGTGTGTGGTGTGTGTGTCAGGTGTGTGTCAGGTGTGTGTGTCAGGGTGTGTGTGTGTGTCAGGTGTGTGTCAGTGTGTGTGTGTCAGGTGTGTGTCAGGTGTGTGTCAGGTGTGTGTGTCAGGTGTGTGTCAGTGTGTCAGGTGTGTGTCAGGTGTGTGTGTCAGGTGTGTGTGTCAGGTGTCAGTGTGTGTGTGTCAGGTGTGTGTGTCAGGTGTGTGTGTCAGTGTGTGTGTCAGGTGTCAGGTGTGTGTCAGGTGTGTGTCAGGTGTGGGGTGTGTGTCAGGTGTGTGTCAGGTGTGTGTGTCAGGTGTGTGTGTCAGGTGTGTGTCAGGTGTGTGTCAGGTGTGTGTCAGGTGTGTGTCAGGTGTGTGTCAGGTGTGTGTCAGGTGTCAGTGTGTGTGTGTCAGGTGTGTGTCAGGTGTGTGGTAGGTTGTGTGTGTCAGGTGTCAGGTGTGTGTCAGTGTGTGTCAGTGTCAGGTGTGTGTCAGTGTGTGTCAGTGTGTGTGTGTCAGGTGTGTGTCAGGGTGGTGTGTGTGTGTCAGTGTCAGGTGTGTGTCAGGTGTGTGTCAGTGTCAGGTGTGTGTCAGGTGTGTGTGTCAGGTGGTGTGTGTCAGGTGTGTGTCAGGTGTCAGTGTCAGGTGTGTGTGTCAGGTGTGTGTGTCAGGTGTGTGTGTGTGTGGTGTGGTAGGTGTGTGTCAGGTGTCAGGTGTGTGTCAGGTGTGTGTGTCAGTGTGTGTGTGTGTGGGGTGTCAGGTGTGTGTCAGGTTGTGTGTGTGTGTGTGTGTGTCAGTGTGTGTGTGTCAGGTGTGTGTGTCAGGTGTGTCAGGTGGTGTGTGTCAGGTGTGTGTCAGTGTGTGTGTGTCAGGTGTGTGTCAGGTGTGTGGTGTGTGTGTCAGGTGTGTGTGTGTGTGTCAGGTGTGGTGTGTGTGTGTGTGTCAGTGTGTGTGTCAGGTGTGTGTCAGGTGTGTGTCAGTGTGTGTTGGGTGTGGGTGTCAGTGTGTGTCAGGTGTGTGTCAGGTGTGTGTGTGTCCAGTGTGTGTCAGGTGTTGTGTGTGTGTGTGTGTGTCAGGTGTGTGTGTCAGGTGTGTGTCAGGGTGTGTGTGTCAGTGTGTGTGTGTCAGGTGTGTGTCAGGTGTGTGTGTCAGGTGTGTGTCAGGTGTGTGTCAGTGTGTGTGTCAGGTGTGTGTCAGTGTGTGTGTGTGTCAGGTGTGGTGTGTGTCAGGTGTGTGTGTGTCAGTGTGGTGTCAGGTGTGTCGGTGTGTGTCAGGTGTGTGTCAGGTGGTGTGTGTCAGTGTGTGTGTGTCAGTGTGTGTGTCAGGTGTGTGTGTGTGTCAGTGTGTGTGTGTGTGTCAGGTGTGTGGTCAGGTGTGTGTCAGTGTGTGTGTCAGGTGTGTGTGTCAGGTGTGTGTGTGTCAGTGTGTCAGGTGTGTGTCAGGTGTGTGTCAGGTGTGTGTGTGTGTGTCAGGTTGGTCAGGTGTGTGTCAGGTGGTGTCAGTGTGTGTGTCAGGTGTGTGTCAGGTGTCAGGTGTGTGTCAGGTGTGTGTCAGGGGTGTGTGTCAGGTGTGTGTCAGGTGTGTGTCAGGTGTCAGGTGTGTGTGTGTGTCAGGTGTGTGTGTCAGTGTGTGTGTGTGTGTGTCAGGTGTGTGTCAGGTGTGTCAGGTGTGTGTGTCAGTGTGTGTGTCAGTGTGTCAGGTGTGTGTGTCCAGGTGTGTGTGTCAGGTGTGTGTCAGTGTGTGTGTCAGTGTGTGTGTCAGTGTGTGTGTGTCAGGTGTGTGTGTGTGTGTGTCAGGTGTGTGTCAGGTGTGTGTCAGGTGTGTGTGTCAGTGTGTGTCAGGTGTGTGTGTGTCAGGTGTGTGTCAGTGTGTCAGGTGTGTGTGTCATGTGTGTGTGTCAGGTGTGTGTCAGTGTGGTGTGTGTCAGGTGTGTGTCAGGTGTGTGTCAGGTGTCAGTGTGTGTCAGTGTGTGTGGTGTGTGTGTCAGGTGTGTGTCAGGTGTGTGTGTGTGTCAGGTGTGTGTCAGGTGTGTCAGGTGTGTGTCAGTGTGTGTAGGTGTGTGTCAGGTGTGTGTCAGTGTGTGTCAGTGTGTGTGTCAGGTGTGTGTCAGGTGTGTGTGTGTCAGGTGTGTGTCAGGTGTGTGTGTCAGTGTGTGTGTCAGTGTGTGTGTCAGTGTGTGTGTGTCAGTGTGTCAGTGGTGTGTGTGTCAGTGTGTGTGTCAGTGTGTGTCAGGTGTGTGTCAGGTGTGTGTCAGGTGTGTGTCAGTGTGTGTGTCAGGTGTGTGTCAGGTGTGTGTCAGGTGTCAGTGTGTGTCAGGTGTGTGTCAGGTGTGTGTGTCAGTGTGGGTGTGTGTGTCAGTGTGTGTGTGTCAGGTGTGTCAGGGTGTGTGTCAGGTGTGTGTCAGGTGTCAGGTGTGTGTCAGTGTGTGTGTCAGTGTGTGTCAGGTGTCAGGTGTGTGTCAGTGGTCGTGTGTGTCAGGTGGTGTGTCAGGTGGTGTGTGTCAGTGTGTGTGTCAGGTGTGTGTCAGGTGTGTGTGTCAGGTGTGTGTCGGTGTGTGTCAGGTGTGTGTGTGTCAGGTGTGTGTCGGGTGTGTGTCAGGTGTGTGTGTGTGTCAGGTGTGTGTGTCAGTGTGTGTGTCAGTGTGTGTCAGGTGTGTGTGTCAGGTGTGTGTGTCAGGTGTGTGTCAGGTGTGTGTGTGTCAGGTGTGTGTCAGGGTGTGTGTGTGTGTGTGTCAGTGTGTGTGTGTGTGTCAGGTGTGTGTCAGGTGTGTGACGGGGCCCTCTTGTGTGTGTGTGTCAGGTGTGTGTCAGGTGTGTGTGTGTGTGTCAGGTGTGTGTCAGGTGTGTGTCAGGTGTGTGTCAGTGTGTGTGGTGTGTGTCAGGTGTGTGTGTGTGTGTGTCAGTGTGTGTCAGGTGTCAGGTGTGTGTCAGTGTGTGTGTGTGTCAGGTGTGTGTGTGTGTCAGGTGTGTGTCAGGTGTGTGTCGTGTGTGTCAGGTGTGTGTCGGTGTGTGTGTCAGGGTGTGTGTGTCAGGTGTGTGTCAGGTGTCAGGTGTGTGTCAGTGTGTGTGTCAGGTGTGTGTCAGTGTGTGTCAGTCAGGTGTGTGTCAGGTGTCAGTGTGTGTCAGGTGTGTGTCAGGTGTGTGTCAGGTGTGTGTGTCAGTGTGTGTGTGTGTGTGTCAGTGTGTGTGTCAGGTGTCAGTGTGTGTGTGTCAGGTGTGTGTCAGTGTGTGTCAGGTGTGTGTCAGGTGTGTGTGTGTGTCAGGTGTGTGTCAGGTGTGTGTGTCAGTGTCAGGTGTGTGTCAGGGTGTGTGTGTGTGTCAGGTGTGTGTGTCAGGTGTGTGTGTCAGTGTGTGTGTGTGTCAGGTGTGTGTGTGTCAGTGTGTGGTGTGTGTGTGTCAGTGTGTCAGGTGTGTGTGTCAGTGTGTGTGTCAGGTGTGTGTCAGTGTGTCGTGTGTGTCAGGTGTGTGTCAGTGTGTGTGTCATGTGTCAGGTGTGTGTCAGGTGTGTGTCAGGTGTGTGTCAGGTGTCAGGTGTGTGTCAGTGTCGGGTGTGTGTCAGGTGTCGTGTTGTGAGGTGTGTGTCAGGTGTGTGTCAGGTGTGTGTCAGTGTGTGTGTGTGTGTCAGTGTGTCAGGTGTGTGTCAGTGTGTGTCAGGTGTCAGGTGTGTGTCAGGTGTGTGTGTCAGGTGTGTGTCAGGTGTGTGTCATGTGTGTGTGTGTGTCAGGTGTGTGTGTGTCAGGTGTGTGTCAGGTGTGTGTGTCAGGTGTCAGGTGTGTGTGTCAGTGTGTGTGTGTCAGTGTGTCGTGTGTGTGTCAGTGTGTGTGTGTGTCAGGTGTGTGTCAGGTGTCAGGTGGTGTCAGGTGTGTGTCAGGTGTGTGTCAGGTGTCAGGTGTGTGTCAGGTGTGTGTGTCAGGTGTCAGGTGTGTGTCAGGTGTGTGTCAGGTGTGTGTCAGGTGTCAGGTGTGTGTCAGGTGTGTGTCAGGTGTGTGTTCAGGTGTGTGTGGTGTGTGTGTCAGGTGTGTGTCATGTGTGTGTCGGGTGTGTGTCAGGTGTGTGTGTCAGGTGTGTGGTCAGGTGTGTCAGGTGTCAGGTGTGTGTCAGGTGTGTGTGTCAGTGTGTGTGGGTGTGTGTCAGTGTGTGTGTCAGGTGTGTGTCAGGTGTGTGTCAGGTGTGTGTCAGGTGTGTGTCAGGTGTGTGTCAGTGTGTGTGTGTCAGTGTGTGTGTCAGTGTGGTGTGTGTGTCAGGTGTGTGTGTGTCAGGTGTGTGTGTGTGTGTCAGGTGTGTGTGTCAGGGTGTGTGTGTCAGTGTGTGTGTCAGGTGTGTGTCAGGTGTGTGTCAGTGTGTGTGTGTGTGTCAGGTGTGTGTGTCAGGTGTGTGTCAGGTGTGGTGTGTGTCAGGTGTGTGTCAGTGTGTCAGGTGTGTGTCAGGTGTGTGTGGGTGTGTGTCAGGTGTGTGTGTCAGTGTCAGGTGTGTCAGTGTGTGTCAGGTGTGTGTCAGGGTGTGTGTCAGGTGTGTGTGTCAGTGTGTGTGTGTGTGTCAGTGTGTGTGTCAGTGTGTGTGTGTGTCAGGTGTGTGTGTCATGTGTGTGTCAGGTGTGTGTCAGTGTGTGTGTGTGTGTCAGGTGTGGTGTGTGTGTGTCAGGTGTGTGTCAGGTCAGGTGTGTGTCAGGTGTGTGTCAGGTGTGTGTCAGGTGTGTGTCAGGTGTGTGTGTCAGTGTGTGTGTCAGGTGTGTGTGTCAGTGTGTGTGTGTGTCAGGTGTCAGGTGTGTGTCAGGTGTGTGTCAGGTGTGTGTCAGTGTGTGTGTGTGTGTGTGTCAGTGTGTCAGGTGTGTGTCAGGTGTGTGTCAGGTGTGTGTCAGGTGTGTGTGTCAGGTGTGTGGGTGTGTGTCAGTGTGTGTGTCAGGTGTGTGTCAGGTGTGGTGTGTGTGTCAGGTGTGTGTGTCAGGTGTGTGTCAGTGTGTCAGGTGTGTGTCAGGTGTGGGTGTGTGTGTCAGGTGTGTGTCAGGTGTGTGTCAGGTGTGTGTGTCAGTGTGTGTGTGTGTGTGGTGTGTCAGGTGGTGTCAGTGTGTGTGTCAGGTGTGTGTGGGTGTGTGTCAGGTGTGTGTGTGTGTCAGGTGTGTGTGTCAGTGTGTGTGTGGTGTGTGTCAGGTGTGTGTGTGTCATGTGTGTGTGTGTCAGGTGTGTGTGTCAGGTGTGTGTCAGGTGTGTGTCAGTGTGTGTGTCAGGTGTGTGTCAGGTGTGTGTCAGGTGTGTGTCAGGTGTCAGGTGTGTGTCAGGTGTGTGTCAGGTGTGTGTCAGGTGTGTGTCAGGTGTGTGTGTCAGGTGTGTGTCAGGTGTGTGTCAGGTGTGTGTCATGTCAGGTGTGTGTCAGGTGTCAGGTGTGTGTCAGGTGTGTGTGTGTGTGTCAGGTGTGTGTCAGGTGTGTGTCAGGTGTGTGTCAGGTGTGTGTCAGGTGTGTGTGTCAGGTGTGTGTGTGTGTGTCAGTGTGTCAGGTGTGTGTGTGTGTGTCAGTGTGTGTGTCAGTGTGTCAGTGTGTGTCAGTGTGTGTGTCAGGTGTGTGTCAGGTGTGTGTCAGTGTGTGTGTGTCAGTGTGGTGTCAGGTGTGTGTGTGTGTCAGGTGTGGTGTGTGTCAGGTGCGCTCCTGTCTGTACACTTGTAGTTGTAGTGAGCTGTTGTCTCCACAGAGGGCGCTCTCTCAGACGGGGACAGGAATAAAATGGCCATCGGAGCCTCTGGTCTGGTCCTGGGTCTGGTTCTGTCTTTGGCCGGGTTCATCTTCTACAAACACAAGTCCAAAGGTCTGAGTTTGAGGTGTCGTCCTCAAACAGATGAAGATTCTGCTCTGTGAGAAGCTCAGTCGAGACGCTGGAACCAACTCAGACCAGAACGTTTCAGCGTCACTGAGGACGAGAGCAGAACCGAGACGAAGCTCCTGAGACCTGCAGGAACTTCAGGTCATAAAAATATTCTGAGGCTTTATTCACGACTTTGTCAAAAACCTTTTAAACGTTGTTCTCATACTTTTCTCTGAGGGTCTGTTTTGGTTTAGAAGCTGCTTTGTTTTACCTGAATCTTGAGTTCAGAAGAATTTATTTTGTTCAGTTTTATCAATGTCGGGGAAAAGCAGATCAAAATATTAGTGTTGTTATTAATGTTTTCTGAAATATTAATGTTGTTCCGATACAATATTTTTGGGATCTGATCCAATATTTGACCTTGATCACCGATACTGATCCCAGTTCGATATCGCACAGGGCGACGACTCAATTGTGATACAGAACAAGAGCAAAAAAATTTTCTTTTTTAAGAAAATCTGTCAGAATAAATTCAGTTTTAAGAACTAAAATGTTCGTGAAATGCAAAAAGGTCTTGAAGAAAAACTGCTGATTTAGGCTTTTCTACCACAGCGTGAATAAAAACACTGATCCGTGTAAAAAGACGCTCGTCCTGCAGAGTAAATAAAACCTCAGTCAGCACTTTTTTTTATTTTTTATTTGATTTATTTTTATTTTGAGTTTGTGCCCAAAGAGAAACAATCATCACACACAGACGACATTAACCCAAACCTGTTCAGGACCGAGTTTCAAAAATTCAAAAATTATC